GATTATTATTTGCAAGCAATCAAGTTAGGAGCAAAACGCAGCCTTAATGAACACCATGAGATTATCAAGTCAGCTTAAACACCCTTGAAAAACCAAAGAATACATTAGCCAATAGTCTCTGGTAATGGTGAAGACCAATTGCGGGTAGTTAGCAGCTGAATTTCCTGAAATTTTCACGTTCCAAATGTCTGGTGCCCATTGTAATGGTTGTCATCCAATAAATGCAAGCTAGCAGTCTGCTGGTGGCGATTGAGACCCAAGTGTTATTTTTGGATTGTTGTGATTGTGTTTTTTATTTATAACAAGTCTGATCGTCAAGTCGAAAGTGCGTGTAGTTTGTACAGTCAGAGCCAGGAGTGCACAGACATCTCCAAGGTTGAAATGTGTAGTTGAAACCTTGAGGCTTTGCCAGATATCTAGTGTAGTGTCCTACTGGGGCGCAGACATATTGGATCACGCCAGACTCAGCCAATCCATCGTTTCTGTGCGTTAAATATCGTAAACCGAACGAAGACAATGATGAACAACTAAACTAAATAATGGGGACGGTTTTGACTTGTGGTTGGTCAATAAAGCCTGCTCTCTTGAGCGTGTCTCTGTACCATGGCTTAAGTGTTCTAAACAGGAGGATAGAAATGGTTTTGTAACGCGTGAACCATGGTGATGACCTTAAAGATATCCACCTTATCTCTTCCCTCCACAGCTAGTGGAATTGACAAACCGTTTGATGGCTAGGGAAAAAGGTAATCACAAACGTGATGGCGTGAGGCTAATTTTTGTTATCAGGAGAGGGCGGAAGCAATTGAGCCGCTTGAGAGTCACGAGCCGAGGCCTAACAGTGTCGGCTTGCGTGCCAACTTTTGCATTCTGCCGATTATGCATAAGGTTGATCGTTTGCTAGGGCAAAATCATCGATTTCCTGTGGGTTGGAGATTCAGCGAGAATCTCCAAAACGTGGTTTGAGGCCAATGAAATTTAATTGAGCACTAGCGTGCTTAAATTGTTGGGACTGCAAATTATCCCTTTGATGCACTTTGATCATTAAATGCTGATTGTAATGACCGGTAGTTGTCTTCAGTTGAGTCGGGTTAGGTGATGTTTCCATGTTATGGAAAGCTAAATTTTGTTGATCAATTGAAACCCCCTCGTCGACGCCAAGGCGGTTTTCTTATTGTTTGTGCGCTCGAATATTTCACTGTATGTGGGCTGCAATTTTGATGTATTGCGTTGTGTCTAATAAACTCTTCAATACCTAATGGCAGCATTCTTGTTCGTGTGGGAAGTTGTGAATGGAAATGGAGGTTGTGTGTGCTTCAGTTTACACACGTAGTCTATCGACGTAATTGTGTGGGTCTGTACATGATTTTGGCATACCGCTGCAAAAAAATGACGTGGTAAATAATAATTTGTGGAAACCTCATTCCGTGAAAATGGATAGCAGTAGCTCTTTTATGTATGATTGTATTTCAAACATGTTGCATTATGCTTTCACGAATTCTGCAACCAATTTAGGATTTCAGTAGCATAATTTCAACTATATTTTTATCTAGCCTGTCCGATCGCCTATTGCTGGCCTACTGACGTAATCTAGTTTTAAGTAGTTGCGAAATTTACCAGGTTTGATGGGAGCATTTGCCTTAATTCGTCACTTATAATTTTGTTTTCAAATTCTACTCAGATTTCTTTTAGATGGCTTAATTTGCTCTGGAATTGTGAAATGCTATTCCCATAGTTCCTGGCTTATAAAATGTTTCTTCCTTGTAAACAAAAATTCAGTGTGTAACGATCATGAAATGCGTGTCTGTATTCATGCACCCAGATTCAATCCATGCTGGTGTGTTTTATATCATGCCCCATGTAGCAAATATTTGTGTTTTGTCGGTTTTTCATTAGTGACAAGAATATATGTTTTCGATTATGAATTGGCACTCATTTTGTGGGTTTGGGGTTTCCACATCTGTGGTCGCATGCCCTAAAAGTCAAAGCACGACATTTTAAACCAACTGAACTGGTCCATTTTGCATCAGTCTGGATACTTTAATTGTACCATAAATATTTAGGGACCCTAGATGTCAGCGATTTTCATATAAACTCTGTAACTTCATTTAAGTGCGACGTCGTGATCTCAATATGCTGTTCATTGCACATGTCAATGTTTTGCTAATAAATTCGTGATTATGATCCCAGGTGGAAAATAACGGAGTGGGAGGAAGATGATAAAGCAAAACCGGGGTTGACTTCATGTCTGAAACATGAAACATTGACTGGGTCGCATGGTGTGACCCGTGACCCCTGATGAGTCTAACGGCCAGCTTCCTTTTAATTTGTGCTGCCAGATTTCAGGTTGGTTTTCACAACCTTTTATTTATCACGACATCCCCTTTGACATCTTTCCCAAGGTTGTGCTCAAATCCGAAGGTCTGGTAATGGAGACCGTTTGACCATCTGCAGCTGCTTACTTGTCTGCACCAGAGTTTTGTTAACGAAAGACGAGTTGGAGAGCATACCTTTGTGTGGCAACGATTATGACGATTAAAAACATTTTTTATAAATCCTAATCCGCCATCACGTCACTTTCCACCCCCATGTTAATTACACTATTATAAAAAAAGCTCTTTGTGGAGGTGACGTTTCCTCGTGCTGTGCCTAAACTGAGGCTAGTTGGTGTAAGGAATGGCAGATTTGATAAGCAGCATTTATCGGATGTTCATTGTCAGTTAATCCTCATGTTGTAATTATTTTAACTAACATTATATTTATCCTAGTGTTATGGCTGGTATTTCGTTGTGTTTATTTGAACAAAGCTCTAACATTGATAAATTAGACCTTGGTTTAACATAACCTATCATTGCTTAGGAAGTCAATCAGGACATTTGGAAGTAGCATCTGCGAGCACTCGATCACAGACTCATTGTTTTCACAAGGAGAAATCAGCAAAATGTTGTCACCGTATCTTTGTGGCTTTCGATTGTACGGTCATGTGTGCCTTCAACCTTGCTTGAATTGACATGTCGAACTCTGCTGCATCCTTAAACACCAATCAACAGCTTGCGAGTAAATCGTATACCTGAATAGGCTAAAAGGTCGAGAACAATTTGGACTATTTTCACGTAGGTGTCAACAAGCGGATTAGTAAAGCAGTAATTAGTGGCACCAACAGCTTCTGATCTGCACAGACGTGGGTTAATGTCATTTTACTTACTTACAGTTTACCTGGGATCTACAAAGGTGTTCATCCTTCCAATTGCAATACACTGCTTCGTTTCATCGACTGAGAGCATTTTGAAGACTGACGACGTCATCGTCTTTTACCTATTTAACGCAGGAAGGGCTCTTAAAAAACCAACGGATTATTCATTGAATCCATGCATTTCTCGTCGTCATTAAAGGAAATCACATTCTCGTTATTCTTCGTACAAATTTTATCAAAAATAGTAGGCCACTGTAATTAATGCCGGTATCAACAATAGTCTTGCCACTCACAAAAAATGTTTTCAAAGTACTCCCTTGATGCTTCGGAATCAGTTTATTTCATAAAGGCTACAGCGTGTTTGCACATGTCTACTTGTGAATAACAGAAACGAGATCGCTCGGTTATTTTTAAAAGTACTATGCAAACTAAATCAAAATAGAGTCTCGTTGAATCCTGTTTCTAACTGGCAAATTTCTCGGTGTGGAATGGAGGGGAGCATTTGTGTACAGTGAGGGTAAAAGTAGTGAGTAGGTGTTGTTCGATACTACTTCGAGAAGATGGACTAGAGCAGACTACGCTGCACAACTCGACGATTGCAGTTTCTGTTGCTTCGGTGAACATTCATCCAACTAAACTTTGTTTTAAAACGGTGGGTTTAGAGTCCTACCTCACTTCTTGAATATGGTAGGGAAGTAAAACCTTAACGCATTCTCCCTCCTAGTTTGCAGCGTTTACCCCATCTTTCCTTCAAGTAAGTCTGCGTGATAGAAAGATCTTTCAAAAAAACGTTGCTTCACTAGGTCGTTTCATTCGCGTTAGTACACACAACGCATCAATTAATTGGGGCACATTTTGCTTTTCTGACCTACTCTGCTCACCAGCGTGCAACATTACTCGAGAGCAAGATGAATAAACAAATCAAATGGAAGTGCAATAACGAGAGACCGCTTCAAACTCCACGCGTCACGATAGCACTTTTCTACTAGTGTGTGGGTAACCTCAGAAAAAAACCCTGAAAAAAGTAGGAATGCGCGCGTGCGTCTACAAAAGTACAACAGGCATTATTTTGATGTCGCCGTGTTGCCCACTGTGTGTTTTGGTGTTGGAGTGGTCTCGCGTGAGAGCTCTCGAACGGCACCTAGCCGACGGACCAATCAGGGTGAACTTCACTCGTGAACTCGATTTCTGCAAATTTTCACCAAACCAAATGTCGTTGTTAGTCCATCTACTCAAGTCACTGGTACTTCATGGTCTGACATGTTAAAAACCTGTGATACACGCTGGCACGTATCAAGCGAACCCGAAGTAGTATAACCTCAGCGACTAATTCGAGACAGACTCGGGGCGGAAAACCATTCCAACCGTTTGCAATAGGAAGGAAGAAAGGAAAGTAGTTGGTATCTTTTTTGTTCACGGGTAAACCAGGAGTCAAGCACGGAGATGTAGTGACGGGAATAGAGTGTTGTACATGGGATGTTGAATCAGTAGAAACATTACATGAATGAACGTAGACGGTTAAAAGTTATGCATACGCTCTTCTTCTTATTCCTTCATTCCTCCTCGATTTTTAATCAGAATTATAGGGCGTTAAATAAAAGCAATTTTACAAAGCTCAAACCATGCCTGCACGCATACAAACACAGATGAAAGAGGACGATACATAAAGACCACAGGAAAAAAGAGACAATGTGTGCTTTTCATTTATCGCCTCATTTTTTCACAAATGCACGGGGTCAGCGTGAAAGACCGGTGGGTTAGGTATGGGCTGAGTGGTTGGTGGAAGAGTGAAATTAGCGGGACCAGCTCTTTATGAGGGCGTCAGTGCAATCGGGGCCCCGTCGTGGACGAAGAGGGTCTCTTCGTCATCATCGCTTGGAAGGGGAAACACGTTGGAAGAACTTCCCGGCCTCCGAACAGGCGATTGGTACAATTCAGCCTCGGAACTCGCTTGAGTTGGTGGCTGAGTTGAGCTGAGTGTTGCGGCTATGTTTGTAGGGGTAAGGCAACCGGTTAGTTGACTCCGGTCGCTGCCTACCGACGAAGGCTCGATGAGAAGACTTCCGCGAAGAGCTCGAACTAGCTGTTCAGTGCCCTGAATATACCAAAATGCATATTATTTACTCGTGACAAAGGTGCAAACAGGCGCCACTAAAAACGTCCTTCACGTGATGAACAGGAAAGGTATTGATGGTAATTGCGCGCTTTTCTGATCTTTGGAGCAGAACAATTCATTTCTAATCTCTACTTGGTTTCACAGCAATACATCAATGCAATGAATAGGGACTAGTCTTGCAAAATCCAGCTTCGATATCGTCGCCTTTCATCCTTCCACATTATCCTAATCGGGTGCCCAAGAAAGTGTCAGCGAATGAAATTGGTTTGTACAAATCGGCAGTGATGAATACCTTTTGGGACATCAGGGAAGTGAGTGTTCCGCCCATGGTCACACCCGTGGCAGTAGCGACAGACGACTCTCCATTGCTGGACAATTTTTGTAAATCCGGAGCCGAAGCCCGTCGACTGAGTGAGCCGGAGCGACTTCGCAGGAGTGAGGCACTGAGGTTTGGCATTTGTCGCGAGACTTTTACCTCACCGTCAGCCTGCACTGGAGTCGGCGCGCCAGTGGAACTGGCGACGGTGCCAGCAGAGGGGAAGAGGCCTGGGAAGAAGGAGGCTTCGTTTTGTGTCTGAAAGTAATTTTGAAACTGGGAGTAGAGCTGCGAGACCCCGTTGGAGTGCTGGCTACCGGCAACGTAGTGCGGCTGCCCAGAACCTGTGGGCTGTAAGTTGTTCATCAGGGAATTCCCCGCGAGAATGAGACTTGAGGCCAGGATGCTGTCATCCCGCGCAAACAGGCCTGTCGCAGGATTCTTGAAGATCGACAAACCCGCTACAGCACTAAAACAAAATATATGAAAACGCATAACGTTGAAACTTGTTTTACGCGTTTGGTCACAACTGGCTTTTTTCACGGCTGTTTTATGCCAAAGTGAGCGCCTTAACATGAGAGTATGCGTTTTGTTATGGAGTCTAAATACTGTACAATAAATTCTGTTGTTTTGGTTTGACCGTGAGTTTTCAAATCCTTGCAAACTTCACAAAATGTTTTCCTTTGTCTTAATGATTTTGACCTAATTCATCAAATACGACGACGACACGCTTCAAGGTCGCATAGCATTCCTGAAAATTTTGTGCTCATGCAAACGGCACATGTCTCGGGAGAGCATGGGTACGCTTTTACTGCCACTCCACTGTTATAAATTAACTCTCGTTCCCCCATAAAGATACTTGTGCATTGGTGCCAAATAGATTGAAATGTCAACAGTCATGTGTTCTACACAATAGTTTTCTTCAAGAGTTGAAAATTGCTTGTAGTAAAGCAAAATAGTGAAACTATAAAGGCAGAACTGCAAGGATTTGTTCTAAAGTTATCAAAATGAGCACATAAACACTGGAATGAGTTCACGTATGATTTTCTAGCCAGGGTCACTACAACAAGGCCAACCTGGAAACAGTACAGATGATTCGCACAAACTACTTTGAGATTATCAAAAGCAGAATGTTGTCTTAGTTGCGTAGGACACCAACGTCAACTAAAATGGATAAAAGTGCTAATAGCAATGGCTCGCTGGTAAACATAGCTACCCAAACACAACTAAACTTAATCACATGTATTCTACAATGCTATGCAATTGCATGCAACACTGGCACTCTGAAATATCGATTCCAATTGGCCGCAGAAGGCCCTTTACGAGACTTGCTTATGTACTGCTTTAAGGAACAATGGACGTGGCTAATCAAGCTCCAAGGCACTCTAAAGCCTCCGCTTTCTTGTCACGCAAGGCAAATGCGAACAATAAGGGCTAAACAATTCTCATGTCCCTTCGTAAAAGTACGCCCTGTCAGAACGGTTCCACCCAAACGGTAAGCGTAAATAAACGGCTGACTAGACGCATTGTCGCTATTTGCAGCAATATTTAAATAGAATGTAACTGTGAACTCAGACACAGTTACTTAAAAAGCACATCATTGTGGATACTTTGCGCTCTCAAGGAAATCTAGCTGCATTTGTGACTTGTCAAATTGTTGGGCTTGTGAATCGGCCGTTTCAAATCCATAACGTATAACTTCAGTTCTAATGGCAAATTCATGTCCCCGTATTCACAGACATTCTGGTCATCTGTACAAGAAAATTGAATCAAGCTCGATTTCCGACCGCCACAATTGGCGCGTTATACTCGACCAATTAGAAATGACCGTTAAAATGATTTATTTGCGATTTGCCAATGTTGACAGTGGTTTCCACTATGCAATCACTTGTGAATATAAATAATTCACGTCTGACTCAAATATCTTTTCCTTTGACCATCAGTGACTTCATTAAGTTTATCAGCATGAAAGCCCACATGGAGCGAAAAATCTGCAGCACGACATTTTCTACACAAATTCTTATAGGTCTGTTCTGTTAGGTAGTTATTACCACTAACTCCACACATAGCTTAGTGAACCTCAAATGTCTAACATGCACCTTTTTGCCCATCGCGTACAAATCAACGCTTAACAGCTGCAAACAAAATTACGTAATTTGCCTTTCAATTGAGCCAAAAGTGACATCGATAAAGTCTCAAAAGGAAATAATCGCAATAACTGACAAAATTCCTTCAACATAAACCTAATGCCGAACACACACGACTGAGTTAACTCATTTTTGTTAAATACAACTTATTCCGCAGTCCAAGCAAAGAGAATTTCTACAAAATTCTAATTGCGGTAAATTGGTTCAGATTTATAGCATTTTTGGGCACAAGGCAAGCCATGACCCAATCCACCAATTCGCTTAACAGTCTGAAAGCGACCTACGTTGAATTTCAATAATACTTGTGAAATTGAACCTAAGTTATGTTGACGCAAAAAATCTGGTTGTGTCGCTACGTGTCAACTTTGCGTGATAATTTGATACCAGCTGTAACAATTCGCGGAAAATGGCAGGGTCCCAAAGTAACGTTATCTTCCCATACACAGTCAACACGCAAAAAACTGGCCTACATTCAGGAAAGGCAGTCGGAACAACACAATTTGTTTTTGTTATTGTTGTTGCTAGCCTTCTTGTTGATGTGTGTGCGTGTGCCCGTGTGTTTATGCGGGTGTATCAATGCTAGTACTGGAATTGCGAGGGTGAATAATTTGTGTAGCTGTGTAAACAGACGTAGAGGTTAACAGCTATTTTTTCCCATAACGACAAAAAAACGTTTCGATAGGCTATTCCCTAACCAGTGCAGATTAAAAAGGCGATAGAGGACAAATGCACAAAGCTGAAGTTTGAATTGACAGATGCTGGTACACGCTAGTTGCCTTGGCAACAACTCATCTTGGTTCGGGGCGTCAATGACTCTTCTGCCCGCTTTCTTGAGACGCCGAAACCAAACAAAAATGGCTAGTTAAGGATCGCCAGAAAGACACTATAGCCACTGCCTAGAGTCAATTTTTTTCGAAATTGTAGCAGAATGGTAGAACCTACGCAGCTCCATACATTTATGAATTATACTACTAAATTGTAGACGAACCCTAGATCAAGTACCTCCATCGCGTCATTTCAACCAATAAAGGAATAAAGTAATGCTATCGTTTAACTTATTCAACGACGTGCTGCCAGCACGCCTGGATGTATCGTCGATTCAAAACCTTCACATTTGCTACTGACGAAAAGAGGTTTTTGGAGCATCAAACAGCTGAAAGGGTGGATTACTCATCACAACGCACCAGGTGGGCTGTGTGCTACATAAGACCATATGGGATGAAAAAATCATAGGCTGCCGGCAAAGATGTGTTTGTTGTTGGGATCCGAATCAACCATTAGGCGAAGCGAAGTTGCCAGCGCAAAAATAGAACTGCAGGTGGACAAAATTAAACGTTACAAAAACTGGGAAAAAGCATCAGACAACCAGGGGCGTGCAGGGCTAAAGGCCACGGAGAAAGTGACATAGATTTGTGAGTTAAAGGAGTGATTATGAGTTACTAAATGAAACATCTACAAGGAATCTGTGTATCAAAAACACACTTCAAATTGCTGACGCGAGCGCGATGCAGACCACTGTCAGGCGTGTCAACGTTGTTCCCACACTAGAGGTAGCAGAAGACCTTCACATTCATTTCTAATTAGTGGTTTAGTCTCAAGAACAGAATTTAAACACTTCAGCATCATGGCATGAAAAATATTACAGCAATTCGTCACATTGCAAGAAATGACGAAAGGGCTGAATTCAAAGACTGGTCTCACGGAGTAAGAGCTCTCATTTGGAGGTGCCAAATGAAACGTCGAACGCAGTGATGCACAGCTTCAACAAATCACCGCAGCATGGGTCTCACGAAAAGATGGTGCTGTTCTAACGCTACTCTTTATGAATCGGGTTAAAACTATCCCCTTCGACGAGAAACATGGGGTTTCTGGCCTAAGTAAGTATGAAGAAAACAAGTGCAGAACGCCATGTGTCATGGCGATATTTGACATCGTAATGCTTTGGGCGTAACGGATGGACAAAAAATATATTTTCATGTTATCATTGCAGTCTTAAGGGTATTAGCAGATGCCACAAAACACCAATACCTGCTACTACTTAAAAGGTAAATGGGAAATTGTCCTGTTAAAACAGTCTTGATGAAAATTTTACTGCCATGAACACTAACGCCTAACGGAGCCAACTCAGTCGACCAGGTCGATAACAAGTACACACTATAGTTGATAATTGATATGGTTATCCACCGGTTAGCCCAAGCAAATGATTTATTTTAGAATCTACACACTTTCAGGTGTTGAGCACTGTTGGTTTCACTCCGAATCTCACGGATGTAGTTTACCGTGTGCAAATATATAAAATAATAAATTTGGACTTCTTAAAAACCTGGGAAATCTTGTGGTGATGCAACGTGCAACGTGACATGATCAAAATAAATGAGGGACTTGCGCTATTTGAATACTGGTTTACAGGTACGGTGAATCGTTTTCAGCTGAAAGTAATACTTAAAATAGGAAAATGATGCATAGAAATTTATCAACGATTTTCCTGTGGCATTATCACGCATGCAGGCGTTCTTCCACAGTTTTTGTGTCCGTTTATAAAACACAATGGTGGATTAGCTACACCAAACTACACTTGATCGCGTAGGACCCACGAAACTACTCTGCACAAACCGACTGAGAACTTCAGGAAAATGCTGCTGCATACAACAAACCTCAAGTCTCGATATGGCATCGAAGTTGTAACCGACAGACAAGTATCAGAAAATCTTCTTGTACCAACAAACACGGAACCCTCCAATGATTGATAAATATTTTTTCGCTTAATTTTGTTTTCGCGTGAAATTGAGTTAATGGCATTGACTGTGGCACCGACGACCTCCAGGAATTGAGCAATTTTTGTCCTAGCCGACAGGTTAGTTTGATGGATCAGAAATCAACCTATCAAATTGCTATCACATAAAAGCTTGCTGCAAGACAAATCGGGAAATATTACATTGTTTACTTCTACGGGACGAGTCGACTCGAGTCGAGTATAAACAAATTTCGGAAACAACGAGGACTGTCATGAAATAAGTTTTGACCAAGGATTTAAAAATTATGAGAATTAGGAGCATCATCAAGCCAGCAAGTCAACACAGAGCTTCATGAGAAAGTATAGTAGAAAGGTAGCCCTACCTTTCGAAACCTAAGGACATTTTAATTCTACGAAGTTCAAATTGTCTTGGGCCTTGGGAATCAACACCACCTTGCAACTGACCTTTTTTGCAGAAAGGATGCTGCGTCTCCAGAGTCCACAGAGAGGCCAGAAATGGTTTCACCGACGGTGGAAGTCCGTTTGAAGGCCGAGTTCGAGGAATCATGAAGACTTGGAAGGCGACTTGTGGCTCCGCCAAAGGCTGGATGATCATTAACTTGCTCATGGAAGGCTAAATTTGTGGAATTACTCTGAGGCGAGGTGCCGCTGGCAACGTAAGCTGGAACGGCGTAGGATCGCTGACGCCGCTTTTGAAAGGCCTTAACTACCAGATGAGCTTCTGACTCGGGATCGAGTCGCCAAAACGCCCCTTTGCCGGGTTCCTCTTGACCTCGCGGGATTCGAATGAAGTACCGATTTAAGGAGAGATTGTGGCGAATAGAATTCTAACGGAAGTTATAGAAAGAAGAGGCGTAGAAATACCCGCGCCTGGCTGTACAAATCCTCCAATAGCAAGTGATTTCGCTTGCTTAGGGATCATTAAAAAGCTACACTACCCTGGCTAACTTAAACCCGTGGTTAGTCATTTAATTCAGCTAAGTACCCACCCTCTGTCCCTCTCTTATTGCTAGATCGTGCGCAATTAGATATTTGGGGGAATATGAATGCAGTCTGGATCTGGAAGAGTGCAGACTGCCACGGTTCATGCGTAATCAAACCTCGACTCTTTTCCACAGAACCCGGCTCTTTCACTCTGGCTTAACTAGATGACGATTTACAGTCAGCTTTTCAATAATCTTCTATGAAGAAAAGCTTCGTCGACCTCCTTTGCTAAAAAGAGAACTGTGATGCACCTCCTCCAATTCAGAGCCATCACAACGATTTAATCACTACTAGACTCTGGGAGCGGTAGAATAGCCTAATTTTGGACGCATGTTTCCTTGATTCCCTGCCGGCCGCTGACACTGACCACCAAAGTGTTATATCTGCTCTCTGCAGCGTCCATGATAATTTTTCGATGAAGCACCAGTCACTTGATTGTCAGTTTGTACTGAGCTTTTTTCTGGACAGATTTGATTTTGTTATTCATTCAGCTCATTAAGAAACGTGTTTTTTTATAAAATCCACAAAAAAGATTGTCATCGCGTAAGGGTGTGAATTGGGCTTGCTTCTCCTTTAAAAGTACTTCAATGGATGATGTTATTATCAAGTTCAAATTCTGATATTCCTCTCCACCCCATCACAGCTCGGCCAGATGATTAACACTCTCATGGGGTGGCGCAGACACGAACGCGCCCATGCGGCAGCGTTGGAAACACGCGACGGCTGACGCCGTGCAAGCGCGACGGAACAAGCTGCTATCGCTCAACTAGCACATTGATTGGGCGCAGGCATGCACAAGCTTGCGACATTAACAACATCAAGGTCGCCAATCAACCAATGAAAGGCAAGTTTACAAACCCCGGTGTCCTATCCGGCCGGCACGCGCTAGCCAAAATAACGGGCGCTCACAGGCCATGCACTTTAAACGAGCGTGGGTGTGGGGTTGATAGGGGGACCGCAATGGCAAAACACGGCTATTCACAGCCCCTGTGTTAAAAATTGGACGGACTTTCTGGCTGCGGCCCCAAAATGCTTGGCTGGCAATTGCGTTCGAAGATATGAGAGAAAATGGCATTATTTTCTGAATTCCCAAGAATTTTTCAACGTTCCCAAGGTAATTCAAAGCATGGGCTTATTTTGATCAATATGTACTAGAAATTTGCTATCACCCCCTCACACGAGTAAATACTACCAAGGTGGTGACCAATCAAAAGTGTAAATTTAACTAGCAGTCCACATATCAAAATTACAAAAGAATTGTTTTCCATTCACGTGAGATATCAAAAACTACAGTGATTATAGATCGCTGTAGAGACGGTTGGCGTTCAAATGCTCCTCGAAGCAAGTCTGGTGGTGATTCTGACCAATGAAGTTTGTCACAAACTCGAAAGTCGTACGGGTGACATCACTGCTAAAACGTAACAAACCCAGATTCATGTTTGATGCTTGCTTGTGGCACACAGTAAACACGTTTCTCTGATGTGCAAATAACAAACACAAGAGACTGCGGTAGGAAGTCATTTGGGGGCAGTTGTTGATGTTTTTCTAGAAAACAGGATGACAGTTTCGCCAACCAGATGACGTTTAGGTGGCAAACAAACTTAGACCTCGGTGGAGAGATCCAAAGCTTGAAAGCGTCAGTCGGAAGACAAGCCACCCATTTCGCCGTTTAAAGAGAAACAAAGTGTCAAAACGAGCTCTGATATCTAGTTACAACGTTGGCATTAAACTTCTGCCTTGAACTTACTTGCCAACCCTTCTGGCTTGGTTTGTAGTAGGGGAATTGGGTCGAGATGTAGTTGTAAATGTCAGAGAGGGTAAGGCGACGATTTGGAGCTGAAACAATTGCTTGGATGATGAGCTGAGCATACGAATATGGCGGCTTTTCATACACCGAACCGTGCTCCACCGATTCAATCGCATCCAAGCTGGAGCCACCGCCTGAGCCCCCCTCGTCGATCAAAGATGGCGAAGCGGTGGCAGTGGGTGAACGCGAAGACGACCTCTCAATTGATAATGGAGTTGCTAACGTTGAACCGTCCGCTCCGTTGAGCGTTTGGGCAGATATTTTTAGAGGGGTGCGGGAGTAAGCTAAAATGGGTTACGATTACAGTGAATTTTATTGGCACAAATATGACCCATTTTCCAAATGATCACCTAAATTTGTATTGGTTTTACTTGCATTGTAGAGACTTGGCGTAGACAAACTACACACAAGCCGATTCCGCAACACGGAAGCTAAAATAATTCGACCATCAGATGACTCGAAACTAAGCGACCTAGGTCCAGTTACTGATGACGAAAAAAGAGCACTTTCTCCTTATTTGATTGGCTGTTTTCATAATTATGAAGACCACTGACAATACATCACGCCAGCATCAGTAGCACGTCTGATCATGTCAGCGGTGCAAACATCTACCGACAGAATGTATAATTTTTAATCGCATCACATTCAGCAACAGTAGCAGCTTTGAGTCTGCTATGGGAGAAGTGGTATAGCAGCTAATTTCGTCTGCAGCATCTTATGCGACCTTGAGTTAGCCAATCGCTGTTCCCAAACGGAAATGCGAGCGCGCTGTTAATAGCTTAAGGCATTAACGTGCAGGTTTCAGACACACACGTACACACACGCCTAGACTGCCGCCTTTGAAGTGTTGTTGTTAAATACGAGAATGAGGCACCTACACACAATGCGACCTCATTGTTATGACGTGTGCACAGGAACGAACACGCACTTAGGCCAAACGTTTCAAACCGCAAACAAACCATCCGGGTACTTTTACGAGATGCAACCTCTCGCATCCTTTTTATGCCCTTAACTTACGAACGAGAATCTCCCTGGATTTAAACCAGAAGCGCCCCTTACTTGAGACAAGCACAGGGACATTTTCGAGCAGATATTTTCAACGGCTCTACGCAAGTCCTGGCGATGTTAACAGATTTCTTTAACACTTCAAGGCGTTTAGACAACCGTCAGTGAAAACTGACATAACTTGACCATAAACAGTTTTGGAAAAAACTTTGAGAATGTTCAAGAAGCATTCTCTACATGAAGTGGTGGTGCTATTCGCAAAATATGCAAAGCAAATGGTGACTGATCTTAGGACAGTGAATGAAGTGCAAGTTTTTAAAATGCATGGGCGCTGACAGTTGTCCAAGCACAGGGTGAACAAAGTCAGTTTTAACTGCTACCCGTTCTGTACCAAAGTGCCCAAGTTGCTTGCGTCAGAGGGTTTGTCCTTTTATTGGGCATTCGCGTCCGCGCACATCCGATACCGGCAATTTAGGAAACTAATGGAAAACAGCCGATGACGTCATCGATGCGTACGTGCACCCCGGACAGCCAAGGCTTTTTGCCGCCGCACAAGCGCGGACGTCCTTCAACGCGCCAATTGGCTTGCCCCAAGCGCAAAATGTCGAAAGATGTGTTGTCGGCGTGCCAAACGTAAACAACCGTGTGCGTACTTGTAGGCGCGCAAACGCGTCTCACGCACGGACGTTCACGCCTAATCCAGCCGAGTGCACTCGCGTGCGCACACCTGCAGGCGCATGTGCATGTTAATGTGGCCCCAAACTGACACCGGACACTAACACACACACACACGTCTCAGGAAGTCTACTTCGAAAAGCATAATTTCCTATCAAAGGTAACCTCGGTCCTTCATCCATTAACCGCCACGGAAGCAGGTTCCGAGTTGGGGGCCGAACCTTCGCGTTTCCCAATTGTAAGGGCGATTTCATCAAATGGGAACAAAATTGATATTCAAACCCCGAAACGTACTACAGTGCAGCAAACTTTACCTGCAACTAGGTTAGGGAACCGAACTGAGGTTGGTGCTGTTGGCTGTTCGGGTGGTGTCAAGGAGGCATCTAGACGTCTGACTTTGGCTTGAGGCACCGCTGAAGGAGGCTGAAAAGACTCTGGAGGAGAACAAGGTTCAGGAGTCGAGAAGGGTTCGGTCGACCCTGATTTGCATCGGGAAGGTACGGAGATAGCAGATGAAGAGTCAGTGATTAATGTATTGTAAGCCGATGAAGTCTTACGATCAAATGAATTGAGTGTTGCGGCATTCTCGTCTTCCACTTTTATTCCGCCTGAGATGCCGAGAGATGGCAACACTGGACGCCTGAAACGCATGCAAATGTCTAATAGTGTATTCGAAACAAAAGCCCAGGAAAGGCTAATAGTATAATTCAACTATTAGCAATTCCGTTTTCACCAAACTAGTTCATTCATAACACTTTGAATTGAGTTCACCGATACACTAAACGAGAAGTCGCTGGGTTCAGAAACGATACGTTTAAGACTTGTAACATTGCTAAACTTTAAAGTTGTGAGCGAATGATAAGACCTTTGCACACAGCACTGTAGAGTAGGTAATTGCTGTCCGAATCGCCAAGCTCTGATGCGGATGCTGCAACACATACGTCACATAAGGCCACAGGCCAATTGGGTATGTCCGTCCTTGGGGATTCAAGGTGGTGGTTTTTCCTTTGTTTACGCAAGCAATCATCAGCTTGGTTCGCATTTGGACTTGTTGGTGCTCGCTACCATTCCTTTCTGCGTGATGCCAACTTCTAACTTTTTATGCAGCATTGTTTTATGAGTGACAGTGTCTTTGATATTAAAGCCACGGATTAAAGATCTCAAAGTGACAAAATAATAAGACCCACTACTCAACCCTTTCACCGAAGTGCACAAAACACTGGTAGTATTTCTTCATGCATGTCTAACATGGAAAGCTGGAAGATGAAGACTCAGGTGGAAAGAGGCCGCTGATTCCATCAGTATATTTGCATTCATTAGAACTTGCAACCCAAGTGACACTGCCTAATGGCCAGAATTGCCCTGAAAATCCACTTTAAGGGGAAACACACTCACCAATAGTCAGCATCACTAGTCAGTCAGTCAGTCGACACACTTCGCATTTAGCTTTCTAGCGTTTTGTACTCACCCTCTAAAGCCTGGACTGAACTGATCGTGTACCACCCACACATTTTTACTGATCAGGCGCGCCAGTTGGGCAGTCCTTCTGAGTTCCAGACACACAATGAACGGCGTAAAGTGAACTGCGGTTTGTTGCAGGGATAAACATGCCGAGGTCAAGTAAGTCACAAAGAAACAAATAAAGCCCCGACGCACTCATCTTTGCATAAGGTAATCTAAAGTACCATGCGAGCTGCATTTGGTTAATCTTCAGACAGTAGAATCAAAGTCATAATAAACCAAGTGCTCGTTACAACCCGCAAATTGCATGTCACACTCCATTAACTGATTTAGTACTGCTTTTGAAGAAATCATTGAATGAAAAATAAAAATCAGAGTAAATTTTTAAAATTGCGGGAATACGTGTTGCAAAAAGTGTTGTACTTCTAAAAGTAACCAAACATTCACATATGAACCTCACGTTTAAGATTCAAGTAGCATTCGATGTCCAAATGCGTTCAAAAAATTAGTGAATCGTGAGATTTTGAGCTAGGATGTGACATTTCAGTCGGTTACAGTTCGATTGGCAGATATTCGTTCCTTCAATTCACAGATTCCCAACAATAGCGTGTTTTGTTTTCCTCCCCAAGTCAACAACGGCCTTATCGTTTGGGAGGTTCACTGTGCCTACGACCTTGTGCCCCATTTGAAGTGACAACCAAATCTCTAATCCTAACGCCGCTAAGTACCTAAAAAAATGCGACATGCCAAATCTATGGGTTACGTTCCACGTCTTGATTTATTTTAACTGCATGCTGAGGTTTGTGTGACTTGTCCTACAGCAGCCCTTGTGAAAGCTGCATTCCGGTATGGACTTTACGAAAATGGTCAGACGCTGTGTACGCTAGTGCATACGTGACTTCAAGTTATTGTTGATGCCTGCGATAGAAAAGTACTTTTTTTATCGCCTCCAGACCTTCGTAAACAAATACGAGATGCATACGTATAAACGCAGTTATTTAGAGGCCTCTACACCAATTTTCACAGAGGTACTGTGCGTTCATTGGCTCACCTGAAAGCCAACATTTGAGCTCCATGTACTCTTAAGTGGTGTTTTCAGTAATCCCACAATAACCCTATGTACTGCTTCTGTTTACGACAACACAAGACCCCACGTTCTTTTTTCACTCACCCGGAAACATCCCACAGAATACAGCGGTATTGCGCAACACCCAGGAGCGAAAAAAGCTTCTGTAAAAGGACTGCAGAGTCCACCCATAAAACGTCAATGGTCTCGTGAAATACCCGAGTTAATGGCATGGAAAAGTGCGTCGCTTTACCACATGAGTACAAAATCAACAGAGTCTTGGTTTGTGATGTCTATGCTGAGAACTCAGACGGTAAATCGCCAGGCGTAACCGAAAGTCAACATATGCGTTGGCAAATGACCTCAATGTACTCTTTAGTGGCGTTTTTAATCATTTACCGTGTGAACAGATACCAAAACCAATTTCGGCATACGTGAAGTAACGTCATAACGAGGTTTCGGATAATGAAGAAAAAACATTCAAATTACTCTAAGCTCACCAGTAACATCGTTTGTGAAAATATCCGGGAAAAGATAAAACAAAGGGGGAGGTTCAATTTAACACCGAGAAGTTTTCATCAAGGGAACCTGATCAGGAATTACACTGCACAGATTTTCTAGCTCGAGCTCCACAACAGGTAGCAACTGTGACAGACAATGACACCAGGCTAAAATCATCTTGATTAGCAGGAGACAAGGGTGTGGTCGGGCGTTTCCACCACTTGTCATGGCATTCTTGCACAAAACCTCGAAAATGACAAATGTAAAAGGAGGTAAATGCCCAAACCCACGCAACTACTTAGACGTGCCGTCGCGGTCCTGACGGCGAGAGGTCACGTCGACTTGTCCTAAGGTTCTACTACCTTTCATGATCTAGGTCAAATCAAGTTCACCAAGGTCATTTTTCATGTTTGTGTGTCGATTTGGAAAAAGGATGACTACCCAGGTCAAGTTCCTGGGTCTGTAGACACGGTTTTGGCTTACTACAGCAGCCACCCTCGGAAATGCAACACTCAGTACAAAATTGGCTTAGGAAAGGTGAAAACCAATGCACAATCCAGAAAGGAGCGAAAATGACAAAGGTAGGAGTAACGTTTGCTGCAGGCTACTTCAAATAATTTCACTATCTGACTGTCATGCAAAGAATAACAATTACGCTACACTATTAGGGTCGGAATCAATCGAGAGTTGACAACAATGCCTGAATGAGCACACAGCGTTAAAAGTCTCGTGAAGAAACCTGTTGGACATAAAATGATGTAGATGTCCATGTAATTGTGCATGTGAGAAAAAGAGTAAATGCATGCATTTCAAGAGCCCAATAAACAAAAAAAACTGGGACTAGAAGCAAACACATTAGCTCGAGTGGTAAAAATCGAGTAGAATTGCGAAATGATAAGTGGCAATACCTACATGTGATTGATGCTGTGGCATTTCTTCAAGTGTCAGAAGAAAGCCTGTCTAGCTGACGCAGGATATGACGCACGTGATGTCTCTTAATTTTTTGATAGCTTTCTAAGTGCTAACCACATCATGCTGGTTAAATAAAACATTTTATACAAAAGGATTCAAAGCTCCAAAATATTTTGGAACTGATACACAATGGCAACTGCAAAGGTAGCTGCATAAAATAATTAGGTAAACCAATAAGCGGGACGAATGCCAATAATATAGAGATAAGTCTGCAAGAGCCATATTTTAAGCAGAGGCCACAGACCATGTATACCAGTCAAGAATAATATGGAAAATTCTCAAAACGTTACTATTCCACTTTTAACAAACTATTTGACTTGATTAAAGTGATGGATATTAACCATCGTAAATTATTTGCCTAGATTCATTTTTTTAGAAAATAGATAATGAAATTTTCAGCCAAGAGTGTTAGTCTCATTCATCAGTAATAGCACAACCATTAAAATATTCTACCTTAAAAATAACTACCAATACAATTTGATGTAATGTTAACAAACGAACATATAGCCACATTTTTGACTGCGAATACCAGTACTTTGTATATCTGAAGTTTCATCAAAACCAACTACCACATATAAATCCGTGCTTCATTGTATCATAGTACACGCTTGTCAGTTTAACTTTAAATGACCAGGTGAACAATGCATAAAATTACCCCACTATCAACATAGGGTTAGCGACATAGAGATTCAGATTGAACAGACCAACTTAATACCAATAATCATGGCCTCAAGTGCAAACATGTTTGCCCTATAAGCAAGTTCATGAACATCGACAGCAAAAACATGAAAGTGGGTAGACATACTTGCCCTCAGAAACATCCGGATTTTGCGAATCAAGTTCATTTAACCCAGCGAGTTCCGCTGAATATCTCCAAATGGTCCGCTTTTTTGGGTGACGTGAGCTTGAACCGGAGTCGAAGATTTCGACGACAAGAGTAATAGGTGTGCTAGGAAACCTAAGGCGACAACTGACTCAGGGATTAGTAGCTGGAATATACATTACCAGTTTGGTAGAGGAATTAAGTCTTCTGAAAGCATTTGAAATTCCTCATCAATAAAGATGCCATTTTTTCCAAGACACCGAAGAAAAAGAGCACCATTTTTTGTATGGAGTTCGAGGTGTTTCCTGGAAATGCAGGCAGAATCACCCAAGCAAATGTCGGTGGGCAAATGACTACGCCGACCAACGGTAATAACTTCCTTCCTTAAACAGTGAGTAAAATTAGGTCCTGTGACTCTGGTGTACATTGATGCACTGACTCATAAACGGTAAAAACCAACACCGGTTAACAAATAGTGTTAGGAGACGATGTGCGTCTGGTACTACGGATTAACAAGAGGGATGCGTATGCCGCACTATTTGTACTAAGGTCACAAAGTGGTCCATTAATGTTTTCAAACAAAAATTTTTCTTTTTTCATTGCAAAAATGCGTCAAAATATTAGAAACTAAGTTCTATTATATAACGTTAAATTTTATTTAAAATTATTTTTTAATAAAACGGCAAAGCAGATGCATAATGCTAGGGCAAGTTTTTTTTGTTTCAGCGTTTATTTTATTTAAAGAAACCATTTGTGCATCTGTAACTGAAACAAACAATTAATTTCTGACTAATAATATACTTACTAATAAGCCAGTTCTGAATCGATTATTGCCTTAAAACTTGTCAAGTGGCTAGTCATAATCAGGCTCTGTATATATTGGCCAACGTAGCTGCTGAGTTAAAAGGCACAATGTTCCGTAAAAATGTTCATTTAAAGAAGCCGTTTAAATTATTAAGCAGAATTTTAATAAACAATGTCCTTTTAAAGGTTTTGGCATTTGTTTCTTAAAATAATAGGAGATTCTAAAACCCCTTCGTCCACTCTGCAAATTTTGCTAGAGATATCGAACGAAATCCCTATCAGCAGACTAACGTAATTTTTTTACTGACGGCCCTAGTTATTAAGGATAAGCAAGCCTTAGAACGCGACTTTAAAATCTCTTTTAGGTGAATTCGTCAGTGGCGCTCATCAAAATCTGCAACGTCTGCATCCACGACATTAGGCTAATCTAATCTAAAGGCACGATTCAGCTATCTAACATAAAGTTCTTTTGCTGTCCTCTAAATCCCAGGCAGTTAAGGTCTAAATAAGAATCAGGATTGCCCATATAACCAAAAGTCTACCAAAGATACCTCTGCATCAGTGTGTTGCAACTGTGAGGGTAGGCAATTGTATGGATCTACCCATTTATGGGACATGGAACATTTGTACTTTTATTTCTGCATAACTCATTGTCTTACCACATTTATTTTGTTCGAGCACTATTTAGGCTCTGCCTTGGTGGTAACCGACCGTACTTGTTGTACACATTTGCGGTACAACATTTATTATTTACCTGAATTGCCGCCTTAATATAAGTTATTTGAGACAACTGGTGTTAACGTTTTCAGCACCGGACCGTTTCCACTGCTCCCTTGTCCACGCGCATATGTCCGATGTTATTAAGGGTTACGTTATTTACTGGCCAAAATAACCACTATTGCTGGTCACATGAATTAAACAAGATCAGATACTACTCCCACCCTTAGAAGATGCAATGCCCTAAGCCCACACCAGACGGCACCACCGTAAACTCACTTAACCTACATGTCTACACCAAGGACTACGCCCAGAGATGGTGCATTTACATAACCATCCACGTTTAGTTGCTGTTCATTATTTCTGCAGTTAGACACGGCCGCAGATGTTACTATCATCTCGGAGACATGTTCGCTCACGTTGTCTGCCTTTAATCCAACCTATCCCTCGTGCGGCTATCAGAGCCTTCAGAATCGAACGCCAACATTGTAGCAAAATACTGCGTAGTATCAAATTCTATAACAACATTCATTTGCTCATTTCATGCAGCCAACACTTAGCGGAACCAAGTAGGTATTGATTGGTTTGGACAATTAAGTTTCATCGTTTTTTTAATAAAACTATTTGCAAAAACTCATGGCCGCTAAATCCATATCCACAGAATCTTTTGCAGTCTATCTGTGCCCTATCGATCTTGGTTCTAGACATTCAACAGAAGACAGCCTCAGACACCACACTATAGTAGGGCATCCAAAATTTTGTAATAGGTGACGTGAGTGTTTCATCACTGGTGACCTCCAGGGGTGTTAAAACGAGTTCATCTCATTTGTTGGCGGCTGCTTGATGTTCAAGGATTATTTTTCATTCTCTTTGTCCGCCAATTTAATTCTGCGCACTCCAGCATTTGCTCCATGAAGTCAGTCACTAGCGGCTATGCTAAATGACCAACAAATCGGTAAAACGTGGTCATTTGTTGTTCCCAATTCCAGCAGGTGACCAAAAAAGGCCTTAAAGATTCTCTTCTTCACTAACCACAGTAACAAGAAATATGCCTTTCAAAAAGATTGATTAACAAGACCATATATGGCGTGAGGTTCTTTGTGCAGGTGGATACAATTGAAGCGATTTGGAACCATTTCTAGCAATTTCTCTATCAACATGTAAACAATAGAAACACTGTTGTAAAATTTGTAGCCAGTGCGGAACTCTTTGTGGATCACCACTTAGGCGTTAAGAGAGAGTCAGGAAGTTAAATGTATGGAAATACCAGCCTATGGCCAGAAAAATTAATTCGAAGTAAACCATTTAACATGGTGGACGCAGTCGACCGATGTTTGCGAATCCTGCATTAAATTTGGCCTCTACATTGATAACGTTATTACGCCGCACGGCAGTGCTCAGTATAGACTCAGACTGATTTATTTTAAAAACATATTGCAGGTGTCGAGTAGTGCTCAATAATTTATTAAAACTACAACGAATAACCCCCATTTTAGCCTAGGGATTTCATTGTTTAAGTTAGGAGAGTTGTGAAGAGTAGGATTAAATATTCAGACAAAACAAATCCCTCAGAACCGAAATCAAGTTTTTTCCTCTTTTTAACATGGCCAAGACTGGCAGAATTGATGAACTATTCACGTCGTTTTTAAGGCTTCGAAATCGCCTTACAACATCGTTGAGCCATGCAAATGCTCTGGTTTGTGCAGGCGTTCGTTAATTCACAACAGTTCATTTTCCAAGCACAGTTTCGGCCATTGATGTGCAGGAAAAGAATAAACTTATTGCCGTGGCAGGTTCCAAAGAAGCTAATTGTAATTCATGTAGCATACTTCACAATTCTCCCGAAGTTCTAGAATTAAAACAGGTTTAGAGTAGACAGCTACATTAAATATGCGAAAAACTCTTGAACGCCCTTGATAAACCATGCGCTGTTTCGCAAACCCGTTTCAATAACTTTACAAAACGAAATAAAACTTCTGGTGCAAATCGAAAAATTAAAATTAAATCCAATATGTAATTAACAAGTTCAACTTCAACTCTGGCGAGCTGCTGAATGTGCACGTAAAGTCATTTCCGATCAGCTTTACAGTTCATGATAATCGTCTAAAGGTAACGAGCAATAGGATGCAAGGAGTACTGCCACCATTATCCGCATCATTTTAACTAAGTGCAGCCTCCCCATCCAGCAACGAGATTCCTAATCACTCCAACAATCTGATATCAAAAACCATACTTCAGTTCTCAGTGGTACAAACTTTCAGTTGTACAGGCCGGAGGGAGACAAGAAGGCTGCCGCTTTATGTGACAAGGAGCATGCTATCTACGACTGACAGTCAAGCCATTGAGCTGAAGTCACCACTAATAGAACTCAAGATCATTCGCTCATGTCTGTAACGGGAATTTTCAAAAAAAAACAATTTCGTGTCTTACGTAGTCGAACTGACTGGCAACACGGTAGCCGCCATTGTTACTGCACTTGTTCATTCTAATAGCTTCAAACCTCCGACACAATCAATTTCCGAACCAGAAATAACACGGTCGGTATGAGAAGTAATCAGCCACTACCACATTAATGGTAACAGTTAGACCATCAGTAGGCCGATTCAGGTCAATCGTCTTCAAAATTGGCTATCGACTTGCCACTGACAAAAAACATGTGACGGCTACAAGGCAACCGACTATAAACGCATTACAACAGGGTTGAGTGTTTATTAAAAATGACAGTAAAAACACAAATATACACTTGGGAGGGGAAGGGGCCGGTTAATAGATTCCACTAAACATTAAAATCGATGCGTTTAGACTCGAACCCAGTGTTGCTCACAAACGTAACTCCCTTGGCTTCGCCACTCGTTGTTGACATGGTGGTGAAAGTCGACCCTCCACCGGTAGCAACAGTAACGCCTGAGGCGCGTTTTAGGCCGCTGGTGACGGAAGCACGTCGTTCGGCCGCTCCGATGACCGTATTCAGTTCGAGGAGCTCCTTGCTGGTTCCCTTGCCAACGGTAAATGTGACGCGCTTAGGTGACAGAGTATGCGTCCCTGTTGGTGGATGATGGACTGGCTGGGGGTGCCGTTTTACCGGACTGATAAAGACGTTGTGGTTGTTGGTTAGGCGCCTGTAAAAGAAAAAAACATGTGAAAAGTCAAGAACAAGTCCGGGAAATGAGAAACTGTGTGACCCAGATCTGGCGTGACAATCTGCTTACGGAGTACGAGACTGGTAGTGGCCACAAACGACACCTGAGCGCACTAAACGGACTTTATTGTAAAGGGTTGGCGGCGCTGATGCATTAAATTTCGCTGCCCTAGTCAACAGTAAACAGATACATCCATGCAGAACTCACACACATCAAGGCATCACAAACCTTAGACATACTATATGTACGGTAACTAAGCATCTTAATGCCAATCTGAGGTGACGTAAAGAGTAACAGTCGATTCGACACACATGGGAGGATGGGCATAACATTTCCAAAAAAAGCCTTCCTTAATCGACCGATGGTGGATCGCCTCAACAAAGTTACCATAACAGCAAACACACACAGAACATTACTAGGGCCAAGTCATCTAGGAGGAAGTGTGATAAGTGACGCCAGCATCAGCGGAAGAACTAACCGTGCTGGAAGAAAGCCTTCCGAGACGCCAGCCGTGGGTGTCTGGGCTGTCTGAAGATTTGAGTGGACGTTTTGTGAATAGGGCTGAGCAGGCATCGGTGTGAGAAGAGGCTGCTGTTTTGGTGCTCCGACTGCAGAAGATGGCGATGCGAATTGTTGCAAGAACCGGTCCATTCGGGAGAGGAACACGAGGTTGTAGAATCGTGCAAGGTCTCCCCGCTCTTCCACCGACTCCACAGATCCACCCCTGGTGGCCACTCGGCATATCAGCACACGACGGTAGGTGTCACGCGTGGCTTGTGGCTGCATCCTGTATGCCTACAAAAGAGGACACAGTTCACCCTGTAGTGTACTTCATATCTACCAGTAAGTACATCAGAGTAAAATGTTTCAATACTTCATAAAGACCAACAAATATACGATAAATTTCAACCCGTGCAGTTTCCTGTTACTGACTGAGTGGTGGTTGGAGAGCAAAGTGGCCAAGGTGCCTACCTGAACGATTTCCACCAGAGTCACGACCCTGCTATTCGGTCCAACTGCGCCAGCTTTCGAGACACCGTAGAGACAACAGAGGAGGATCTGATCGAGGAGTCGATCCTTAAACAGGTCACTTTCATTCACGACAGCGTGTTCGAAGGCAGTCCAAGCGCGGGACATTAGCAACGGAGGCGCAGATTGAATGCGATCGCAAACAGCACGCAGACGACCGGCAGCCAGTTGGTAGACGTGACGGAAGAATATGGCCATGGAATCGCGCCGGAGTGGAGGTGGGGGCGCAGACCAGATGGCGCGTGAGTCTCCTCCGTCTGCGCCTTCTTCTACACCACCGCCGACACCACCACCAGCACCAGTTTCTCCCTCGGTGGCAGCTAATAGACTGGCGGCAGCGCGAGCAGACTCATCCTGGTGCGGCTGTTGATGGTGGCTCCCCAGACGGATTTTCTTCGCAGGGGAAGCGCCGCCGCTTGTTTGTTGTTGTATGCCCGGTGCTGTGGTTACCAGGAGTTCCCGTCGGCCGTAGCGACTTACCATATTCTGAAAGACATAAGCCACGTTGATAGCATACTTTGCAGCGCACTAAAATTGGGGTTCAACGCGCGGTGACTTAAGAACTCAAGCATCAGTAAGTCGGTTAAACACTAAATGAACTAATCAGTGACCTGAAACACACTTCTGGTTGGAAAGATAGCAACACTTTTGGTAGTAATGTCGACTAGCATTTCTGACTTCGGTGTAACTAGCAAGACGTCGTGTTTTGATGGTCAGGGGATGACCACAATGACACCACAAAATCGCACCTCGTCGAGTTTCTCTGGTGGAAAAATCTCCTCCACTGTGGGAATGGCTGTTCGAGTACCGGTCTGCTGATTGGTGTTCCACAAGGAGGAGCCGGTCCGCCAAGCAAACTGATCCAGAATCCGTTCGACTATTCGGTTCAGGTATTTAACAATTTCCCGAGGCAACTCTATATTCTTTATGAATACTTCGACTACCTAGAAGCAAAAAAGACATGACAACATCGAAACTGGATAATAAACCTTGAAAAAAAATTTAAATGCAGATGACGACGTTTTCGTGTAAAATTGACTAAAAATCACAAGCAGAAGAAAAGGATGTCATGTCTTAACGTGTCACTCATTGGGTCTACAAGACACGAGAGTAAACTAACGCGACTTATGCATAAAATTGGTACGAACTACAGCACTCACAACCAATCATAATTGATGTCCCCTTGTTAAACAAGCTTCACGGGTACACGCACTGCGCTTAAATAAATCGATTAGGTTTAAGGAAATTTCACGAAAACCTGCTTCTAATCTGCTGGTGACCAGTTTTCCAAAAAAACCGACCAAGAAGTAGGCTAGGTTTTTAGGTGTTTTTTTTTTAACTCGACGCATTGACTTAAAACATTACAGACGGCATGGCGTGCCTTGTAAAACGCGATGGAGTCGAGTGTGAGAGCCTCCAAGAGCCATGGGAAGCGTCGATCTTCATCTCCTTCACAATTAACGATGACTAGCTCTAGGCAGCAAGCATAGAGAGCGCGGTGGAATGCGTCCGAGCGCAAAATACCGGCAATAGCGGCACTGGGCTGCTGTGGCGGCCTGGTAGCCTTTGCGGTTTTTTCGTCTGTCAGAATTTGCTCCAAGGCATAGTAGTAGAATTGCTCAGCCAGTTGGCTGCGGTGGGAGGCCGATTCGATGGCACGCGGCTCGCCCGCTGTGTAGGCCGACAGGAACTGCTCCGAGACCGACTGGAGACGTGTGCGAATGTCTGTGAGCGGCGTCTCATTTGTCGCCGTGGAACGGATGAGCTCAAACAGCGCTCCACTGGGGTTGCGACTTCGACCAGATAACAAGGCCTGTCAATAAAAAAATACACACCACATATGCATTAGGGAAATTAAATTAGGAACGATCCTGATACTTTCGTAGATTCTTAATGACTGTATAAGACAACAGGAATTGGATCGAAAACGTCTTCTTTATAACATTAACACAATAGTACCAAACATACCTGGATGTGGTGCAGATTTTGGCTGCGCGTCTCAGGACTGTTCAAACTAACAAAACCGCTGAGGTTGCCCAAAACGGGGCCATACAGAGCGCTATCCGGACGAATTGAGCCCATGTAGAGGCCACTGTTGAGACCTCCATCACCAGGTGATAATTGCTTAAAAGCAAAACAAAAACTTGTGTGTCTATGGCGAAATGAGCGGTGCTTTCCAATAGCCATTCAGAAGAACCAAAGGGATTGGTCCAGACTTGACCTCACTAGGTTCGCTCACAAGCGCGGAGCAAGACAACACAGGTTCTCTTCAAATTGTTGCCTTCGAAATAGACACACCCTCTGATGAGACCCACCGATAAAAATATCAGGGAAACTCAAAAGCAACACGCTCATGCAGCCAATAATACGAAATTATACTGCCGCCTTGCTAGCTATACTCGGTACTGGGGTCACCCCGTATAGGGAACGCATCGAAATCATTTGGGAAAAGCCCTCGTTTTACGCTGACAACGATAAGATGGAAGTTAATTCAAGTGAAAGAAGAGGGCGCAGCAAACATGCGGCTTACGTCGCCAGTTTTTGAGTCGCCCGAGCCAGGGGGACGCGCCGAGCCGATCTCTTGGGAGGCGTTTGGACTCAAAAATATGCGTTCATCGAAGTCGCCAGTGCCTAAGACGTACTCCTCGTAGTGGTCGTTGATTCGTTGAAGGGCGTGAGCGAAGTCTTCAGGTTGAAAGAATCCAATGGGACCCGAAGGATGGAGCTTCAACATGTCCTGAAAGTGCAATTTATCATTTTCGTTCAAATTTGACTATAGAAATTTTATAAACAGCTTAAATGAATTTCGACCAGGATAATGACAAGTGTAGAACAGATTAGAAGTGATCATTAGTCAAAACACGACCATAAGCATTACAAGAACATCCGCGTAAATCCATCGATTCACTGGAACCCGAAGTTAGCTGATATACCCAACTTGAGAAGACAACTCACCACGAATCTTGACCACTATTTTTAAATTCTAGGGTTGGTAATTTAATATCTGGCCACTTTTTAGCATCTATTCAGGCGCAAGGATTTCCAGATTTCATGATTAAGCAAAAAAAGGAAGCGTTCAGTGCAAAAACCGGAATTCAGAAATGAGGTGGACTGTCGGAATGATAGCCGACGTCCTCACCTTTTTTCAAACCCACCTTCTCAACCAATCGAGAGATGTAAGGATGGAAGAAGTGTTCTTTAATAGCCTTACACTCCACAAAGTTGATGCCATTGTCCTCACAAATGAAGCGCAGCAAGCAAGGAGGAGTATCGACATTAGTGGGGAAGCACTTGCCTCCACGGTACTCCGAGTTGAGCAGTGCGTGGCAGCACGCCTGGCCGGCAACCAAAATGTTGCCCACCATCCAATCGATGCAGCATGCCAGGAGGTAGAAGGAGTTTACTAGGTCGTCGGCGACGGCAGGGAAGTTGGCGCGGGTCTTAATGAACATTAACCAGATGAAACGGAAGACCTCGCTGACTTCAGGACAGACGTTATCTAAAACGCCGATAAAAACATACTTAGAAGAAATGTTCACAAGTGCATCACGAAGAAATTGCATTAGGGGGTATCGAGCCGAACTACACGTCAAGCACTATCAACCCATTCAAATGTTTACAACATTGGAACGCTGAATTTCTGTAATCGAAAAAAAAGAGTTGTGGATGCCTAAATTTTCAGCCAGTATCGAGCACTAATGATAGGATTTACAGTCAAATGTCAGTTCACACATCTCGGCAGGATGATAGCGGTGCCGTCTCGAAATAAGCTACCCACTACACATTTCTTGGATATTTCGGACATTAAGCTGCAGCGAGTTACATGTTCTAGTCCTTTCCTAGTAAAATCGCTTTTGAATACTCGGAATAAAGCTGGCCTCATTAAAAGTTGTTCTGCTCGTATCTTTTTCCTTGTCGTTTTTCCCACTACTCTATCTGTTAAACATTAAATTTCTGAAAGAGCACAGTTTTATGGAAACTTGGTGGAATAAAACTGCTGTACTATTATACGCTATTCCCATTTGTGGTAGCGAAAAGTCAAAAGTATTACTCCGTTACTTCTACACTGACTGCCTAAACTGTAGGCTATTAAACAGCGAACATTATTGGTTTACACGCTTCAAATATCACGCTCTTAATCAACATATCTGGTTGATTGTGCCAAAATCGTTTTCGAGAGCTTAATGTGTTTGAGTAAATAACTTGAGCATACAAATGAATGCCTAACTGCATTTTACACAAATGTTAGCCTCTACTCGTATAAACGCATAGCAATCTAAGTCACTCGCTCGACACCAGGGATACACAGGGTTTGTTTTGTCAGTATTTTACATGTGGAAGGGTACCCACAAAGTTGGATTTCATATTTCTTACTAATACATTACTTTTTTTCACAAACTAAATTGATCACTACATCCCTGCCCTTTCCATTCTCAGTGTATAAGAGGGTGCTTATTTCTTGGTCATCTGTTTCGGAGCATGCAAGCAAATTACCCAGTTTGTGTTCCTGTGGAACATCCTCCGAAATAAGGGAGCGAAAGTAGACGGGAAAAGCGCGAGTGAAATGACGGAAAGTCACCGAAGAAATGGCAAACTGTCGCTCGAGACGCTCAATTCGGTCATGCATCTCATCAGACATCTCCGTCATGTCCGACCACTTGCGGATACGATGGAAGAACTAAACCAAGAGGTCGAAATTATGACCTTTATGACGAGGGGGATAAGCCAAAAAAAGGTAGAACAGCGGTGTGCGTACTTGGACCATGCTCATTTTGGCTGTTGCGAGAAGTCGCGTAAGGGAGACATAAGCGTTTTCCATCACTTGACCAGAGATACTGTCCGTAGTTGGGCGCCGGCAACACTCATATAGGGAGCATACGAGCCATTGCAACTGATCACCATCAATTGAGTAGTTTGTCCAAACATCTAAGAGTTAAATTAACACTCCGAAAAATCCAACCCAAACTAAGTATAGAAAGCGGTTATGTAAATCAAGGGTCCATGGATTAGGGTGGTTATTGTTCAAACTAACGATCCCAAGCTGCAAGGTGGTTTTCTTAGACTTCAAAACTTAGTTCGGGTATTCAAACAAGCATAATGAAACACTAGCAAGACTTTTTTAGACTTAAAGGCCGGTTACGCAGATGATCAGAAGGACAAATTTGACTGATTACTACTACCAAACGTACGACTTGAGCATTCTGTTATCCCAACTTTTTAGTTGCAATGCGGACGATAGGACCTCCAATAGCGCATCTGAATGACATTCTTATACTAGACTTAGAGAACCGAAATCGCCGTTTATAACGATCAAGTGCCTGTAGGTATGGCCAGGCAAAAAGCAGTGCTCGTGGAGCACAATACTTTAGGAAAAATTAAAACAACATGTGTATTAAATGACATTTCACCACCAAATCAGCTGCCGCACATCTTTCCAAAAGGCACAGTTTCTATAGAGACATCATAAAGCACCACCAAGCAACAGCATCTAACCAATTTACAAAAGGCAACCTGTGAGAGGATTTGATTACAAAACATTAATGTAATACATGTTTTGTGATGTCACGACCAAAGAAATAAAACTGGAACTTATTTTCCACGTTAAAATTCAGAATTTAGGGACCAAAAAACAGCCAAACTAAAACAAAAGCACCAGAAACTTCATCAACCGTCACTTCAATTAGCTTTCAACATAAGTTCGTGTCAGCAGCAACTACAATATAGAAAGTGTGCAAAATGAACAATTGTGATAAAAGTTGTGCACTAAGTCGTGACAGAATAAAAGAGTTTAAAAGACAGATTTTTGATTAACGAATAGGGCTAAAGGTACCAACAAATTTTACCGTATGTTAAAAAATCGAAATCTACACAGGTCATTCTTCAATAAATTTACAAGAGAGACTCGAATAACGCGCAACAATTCTGGCCTCTTAAACTCACCTTTGTATTTATCCCAAGCCTCTTCACGAACAGCACCTTCAATGCATAATATCTGGCACAAGTCCTCGAATCTTTTTTCAATAGGCTCGTCCTCGTTGTACATATGCATTATAAACGCGCCTCAACAGCATCAAAGAAGGCAGACATATTGAATTCTTGAAACAAAACTGACGCCATGTTGAGTTTTAAATTTAAACCAACGAGACTGTGATTAGAATATCTTGAACGCTTATAAAATGAAATGTTGATATTGAAGATCCACAACAACGCATTTAGAGTAGCTAATATCGTAAATAATCATGCTGCGCCTATTTTACAATCTGTTAATGAGATTTTTATTTCTAACGCCAATAACTTTAATTCTATTTTCTAATAAACAATAATATTCAAAAAATCAAGATGGTAACCTTGCAGAAACTTTCCTTAGTGCTTCTAGTAAAATCCTGGAAATAAGCTTGATTATGATGTCATGCCTCATTCAGTGGGTACTTTTGTACAGAAATATGTCAAGTTTAAAAACTCAAGATACTATTTTGTCGGATGGTTTCCCCTAACGCCTCTACTGCTACAAGAAAAAAGTAGTCATAAGCAATCTTTTCATTTTTCCTTTATATAAACATGTGATAGGAATATGAAGCGGTGTAAGGATGGATCTAACCTGACGCCGAAATATTACTACCTTCGACATTTCAATTTATTTGAATAAATCTCAGGTAGAGGCTTCCTAAACCGTTATATTACTTTTCAGTACCTATGCTACCAATTTGTCTAAGGTAAGGTTTACTAACTGCCATTGTAAAGCGTTCAAATTCCTTAAAGTTAGATTTATTCAAGTCTTTTGTAGAGGTCGTTCACATCTGTGCGCTTTCGCT